AAGGGATCCTCCTGCCTCAGCCTCCCGAGTAGCTGGGACTACAGGCATGTGCCACCATGCCCGGCTAATTTTTTCTATTTTTAGTTGTTTGGCTAATTTCTAATTATAGTAGAGACAGGGGTCCTGCTCTTGCTCAGGCTGGTCTCCAACTCTTGACCTCAAGCAGTCCTCCCGCCTTGGCATCCCAGAGTGCTGGGATTACAGGCATGAGCCCCATTTAACATTTCCATTAAGTATTTCCTAAGATCATTAAAAATCTTCCCAAATCTGTTTTTTTTTTTCTTTTTAATGGCAGTGAACTATCGCATTGTGTAGACATACCACTGGTGAAACCTGTTTACTATTGTTCTACACGTAAACTGTTTCTGGCTTTTCTATTAGCTTTTGTTCTCAAGTGTTCCAAAGAACACAACGGTAGACATCTTCGCAGATATGCCTTTTTCAGGAAATCCTTGTCGCTATTTTCGATTCCTATATCATAGGTTTTTTCAATTTGCTGAGTAATCCAACACTAAGATGGATTTCTGTTTTTTTGAGACAGAGTCTTGCTTTGTTGCCCAGGCTAGAGTGAGTGCCGTGGCGTCAGCCTAGCTCACAGCAACCTCAAACTCCTGGGCTCAAGTGATCCTCCTGCCTCAGCCTCCCGAGTGGCTGGGATTACAGGCATGCGCCACCATGCCCGGCTAATGTTTTCTATATATATTAGTTGGCCAATTACTTTCTGTCTATTTATAGTAGAGACAGAGTCTCACTCTTGCTCAGGCTTGTTTCGAACTCCTGACCTGGAGCAATCTGCCTGCCTCAGCCTCCCAGAGTGCTAGAATTACAGGCGTGAGCCACCTCGCCCGGCCTGCCCACAACACTGTCTTACTAAAACTGAACCCATAAGATGCCTCTTCTCTACTCCCTAAAGAGATCAGCCCCTGGCTAAAGCAAGCCCTTAACTATTAACACTACCTCACCTGTCCAATGGGCAGGTCCCTGACTTTTCCTTTCTGTTCCTACAGCAGATCCACTCACTTCCGTGAAAGCTGATCTAATTTACCTCTTTTTACCTGCTCATCCGAAGTCTTCTATGCCTCAAAGCGGTCCTTCCACTCTGTCTGCTCATTGAAACAGATCCTCCCATCTTTATTAAAACAGACCCATCAACTGATTTTGTCATACAAGCTCAATAGAAAGACTTTCAGCTTGTTTTCAGTCCCCTCATTAAAGCAAATGATCTATTCTTAGTTTGTTTTTCTATGTATTGACGTCAACCCTATTACTCAAAGTAACCACTAACTCGGTCCTCCACTTGTTTCAGCAGGTCCTGACCCTGAATTCTGGCAAATTAAAGCAAGCAGGTTAAGATTCGTTTCTTACCTGCTCAGTAACACAGGCTCTCTTGCTCTTACCAACTAAAATCGGTCTGATTCCTTCAAGCAAGTCCTTGACTTACTTTTCTGTATGCCAACAGGAGACCCTCTAACTTATTTCTAACCTATTCATCAAGGCAGGCTTATCTGTGCATGGAGATCACTGAGACCTTAAGAAACAACAAAGAAAAACACCTGGCCAGATGTAGTGGCTCCCACCTGTAATCCTAGCACTCTGAGGGCAAGGTGGGAGGATCGCTCAAGGTCAGGAGTTCAAAACCAGCCTGAGCGAGACCCCATCTCTACTAAAAATAGAGGGAAATTAATTGGCCAACTAAAAATATATACAAAAAATTAGCCAGGCATGATGGCACATGCCTGTAGTTCCACCTACTCGGGAGGATGAGACAGGAGGATTGCTTGAGCCCAGGAGTTTGAGGTTGCTGTGAGCTAGGCTGTTGTGAACACGTAATTATTTCAGAAGCACAAAACACAAGGATCACCTGTGAGGGCTCACGATCATGGCACTTTAGCCCAGGCAACAGAGTGAGACTCTGTCTCAAAAATATAAAATAAAATAAAAACCAAAAAAACTACCTTTTTAAAGTTAGTTTGTAGGCCGAGCACGGTGGCTCACGTCTGTAATCCTAGCACTCTGGGAGGCCAACGCAGAAGGATTGCTCAAGGTCAGGAGTTCAAAACCAGCCTGAGCAAGAGGGAGACCCGTCTCTACTAAAATAAAAACAAATTAATTGGCCTACTAAAAATACATAGAAAAAATTAGCCGGCGGCCGGGCGCTGTGGCTCACGCCTGTAATCCTAGCTCTTGGGAGGCCGAGGCGGGCGGATTGCTCAAGGTCAGGAGTTCAAAACCAGCCTGAGCAAGAGGGAGACCCCGTCTCTACTATAAATAGAAAGAAATTAATTGGCCAATTGATATATATATAAAAAATTAGCCGGGCATGGTGGCGCATGCCTGTAGTCCCAGCTACCCGGGAGGCTGAGGCAGAAGGATCATTCGAGCCCAGGAGTTTGAGGTTGCTGTGAGCTAGGCTGTTGTGAACACGTAATTATTTCAGAAGCACAAAACACAAGGATCACCTGTGAGGGCTCACGATCATGGCACTTTAGCCCAGGCAACAGAGTGAGACTCTGTCTCAAAAATATAAAATAAAATAAAAACCAAAAAAACTACCTTTTTAAAGTTAGTTTGTAGGCCGAGCACGGTGGCTCACGTCTGTAATCCTAGCACTCTGGGAGGCCAACGCAGAAGGATTGCTCAAGGTCAGGAGTTCAAAACCAGCCTGAGCGAGACCCCATCTCTACTAAAAATAGAGGGAAATTAATTGGCCAACTAAAAATATATACAAAAAATTAGCCAGGCATGATGGCACATGCCTGTAGTTCCACCTACTCGGGAGGATGAGGCAGGAGGACTGCTTGAGCCCAGGAGTTTGAGGTTGCTGTGAGCTAGGCTGATGCCACGGCACTCACTCTAGCCTGGGCTCCTGTCTCAAAAAAAAAAAAAGCTGACCCTTTTAGCAGGTTATTTGTCTTCCAAGCCACGTCTGTAACACAGATCTCAGAGGCTGCAGGCCACAAAAGCCCCTCCTCACCTTTTTCCTTGGAGCCAGTGTCCACGAAGAAGAGTTTTTCATCAGGGGCCTCCGAAACCAAGCCTCTGGGAGATGGAAACGCAGACGTCAGCCCAAGATGTTGGGGAGGGTACAGGTTTAATCTCACGGGGTCCAGTCTTCCTCTTACGCTCACTCGAGCACCCTCTTCCCGCCATCTAGGCTAACGCCTCGCCCCTCAGTTTACAATACTTAATATTTGAAACACACCAAGCTTCGCTAAATCTGGTAACTCTATCATGTTCGCCAGCTTCCCACCCTGAGGCCGCAGCCCATCCTGTTGACTCCCACGGCAGGGGAGTATCCCCACCAGGTACCTGAGGTACCTGGGGACAGGTGGCTCTCAGCTTCCCGGGAGGGCCCCCGCCCCCCAAAAGCACGCTCTGCCTCGCACCTGGCCGCGCAGAACGTGGCCCAGCTCCCGGAAGTCCCGCCCCACGTACCCGCTCGTGCGCTCCTGCAACCGCACGTCCTCCAGGAACTGATCAACCTCCAGCCCCAGCGGCTCCTGAGCGAGCCGCCGCCAGCCCCGCTTCTTATTTCTCGGGCCTTGCCGTCGCCGCCTTAGCGCCGGGTCCACCGAAGTGGGCCGCAGTCCCAGGAAACCAGAATCGGCATTGGTTTTCGAGCGGGGCCTGCCACCGCCGACACTGCTTGCCGTCGCCATGTTGCCAAAGGAAGAATTCAGCCGCCGGTGCCCCAAAATCCCGTTCTGGCGTGCGCGCGCAGATGCCCCACCCCATTCCTGACGTACTTCCTGTGGAGCCATCTTGGTAGAGTGCAAAGGGGCGGGGAGGCTGCCATCTTGGTTAAGGACAACTAGCTCCTCCCTCCTTCGTTCTTTGCTATGAGATCTGTAGATTCCTAGCGGCGGGGGCGGGGCAGAGGTTACAAGTTCCAGGCTCTCGTCCTACGCAAAACACTTTCCTCGGCTGCCCCGAGTCTTTGCTCAAGCTGGTTATATATTTAAATCTCTGTTTTGTTTTTTTTGAGATAGAGTCTTGCTCTGTCCCCGGGACTGGAGTGTAGTGGCGTCCTCATAGCTCACTGCAACTTCAAACTCCTGGGCTCAAGCGATCCTCCTGCCTCAGCCTCCCGAGTAGCTGGGACTACAGGCGTGTGCCACCATGCCCGGC